ATCTTCTGATGCTCTTGTTGTTGATGTGAGAAGAAAGACTTCGATGCAATGTGCTTGGTGTTGTCTCCTTTGATGTAACCCTTCTTGAGCATTCGATGCATGCTGCGTTGTGTTCATAGATCATCGTCGGGAAGTCAACGACGGGGAAAAGATCGCAGGAGCTTCAAATATCACCCACAACCATTACCATCCAGAAATATTCTTGAGTTGTAAAATGCATGCTGCGTTGTCTTCATAGATCGTGTACGGTGAGAATTTCAGCATTGTTGGACGAAGTGGCAACTAAGGTCTGTTTAGTTGACCTCTAAGAGATTACGCTGCCTCTAATGGTAAAGACATAACAATTCCAATCGAAGTTTCATCTCCAAATAGATATCCACCATGGCTGATCAGACTTCGTCTGCAATTGAACAGATTGTGCAACCTAATATCCCAAATTTATGCTTTTGGCAAAGACCCATGAATTTGAAATTGCTTTGTGTAGGTGATTCACAATATTTCTGTCCAATTTAACTTCACTAAGGTCTCTCTTATTCTGGTTTCGTATGGAGGCTAACCCTGAAAAATGGGAGAGGAAATATGCAGCCTTCTTTTGTTTTTTTTCTTTTCCTTGTCGGTTCAGTATTGCATAGACATGTGATCTAAGAAATAAACTCGTGCTGAAGGCTTCTCCAATTCCAACAAGTGACATGCACTGCACATAAATAAAAAAAAAATGAATGTAGGCCACAAGTATATTATACAGCCAAATAGGTAGACACTTAAATCATAACAGACCATTAGGTTTATTTAAAAATAAGGAATTATAACATCATATTTTCCTCCACTTCATTAATATAACTATAAAAGCACAACACTATGTAATTCCTTTCCTCTACGTCCAAAATATCACAAGAAAATGTAGCTTTTGCGAGATAATAAATAGTAAAATATGCGTTCATCATTATGCTATTTCTTAATGCTTCCATCCCTCCTTGGTCGTGATTTCGATCTTCCTCTTCATCATCATCAATATCGCTCTCTTCACTATAGTCTTCGGGGTCATCAAAATGCCAATCACGTTCAGAATGCCTCCTTTTGTAGTTATGAAGAGCCATTGTAGCAATGACAATATTCACTTGCGTATTGAACAGACAATCAAGCATATGCCTCAAAATTGCCCCCCTTTTTTTTATACTCTAAACGTACGCTCAATTATGCTTCTAAGAGAAAAATGTCTATGGTTGAATACCTCTTTATGCCCCGTTGGTTGGCCACTCCTATAAAAATATGAGAGATGATGTCTTTTACCTTTATGCCCCATGGGGTGGTATTAAATTCCGAATCCATAGGTTTGATAATATCTATTGCCATCTAACATACAATATCCAACATAACACCGAAATATCTACTAACGGTCTCAGAAGAGTGTTGAAATTGCTCTTAGCTATTCTTTTTTTTTTTCTTCTATACTATGTCCTAACATATGCAAGAACATTCCTAATATCACTTTCTCCCTGAACCTTTCAAACTATAGTTAGCTTGCAATACTTTCATTAACCAAATGTTACCTGTTTGAAAAAATTCATACATGGAGTTTTATGCACATATTTTAGATAATATGCTTCAATAGCTCGAGTACAAGCGCATGCTAATATGTCAAACTCTTCCTCATCATTATCTAGAATGTCCATATTCAAGCGCACCTGCAAGTTAACAAATAATCCTTAACAAAATTCAAGCACCTTGCCAATTAACAGTTGTACAAATATTGAAAACAAAGTATCTAAAAATTAACTCATAATTCAAAATAACATTCAAGGAAGGTGTCAAACAAATTCTAAGACATAATCCCAAATTCAAGAAAGGTAATCTATAAATTAGAGCTGAGGATGCTTTAAGGAAGAATATCTTATATTATAAAAAAAATACAAATATGCTATATTATGTTATGCTTAAAAAAAAAAAAACGAATGACTTAAAAAAAAAAAAATACAAACAGATGACATGTTTCACGATATATATAGTAGTGGGGGATTATGGGACAAAAAATAAATCCATTCGGCATGGAGCTAGAGCCTTGTTTCGAGATGTTTTTGTTGGTATTGATCCAGATTTAGATGCTCAACTGGAATTTGGAGCATTCCAAAAACTTGGAGATCCAACTACAAGAAGACAAGTGGTCTGATACAATACGTGTTGTTACTTGTTACTTTTCATTTTTATTTTCTTTCTGTGATTTTTAGATGGGGTACCAGATAAATCTTGATTTGAATCACTGCCTTTACTTTGACTCTTGTTCTTTATTTATCCGGGAGACGATCCCAAATAAACAGGTATGGAACCTATAATTGTAAACCACGATTGAATCTATGGAAGCATTGGTTTATACATTCCTTTTAGTCTCAACTCTAGAAATAATATTTTTTGCTATCTTTTTTCGAGAACTGCCTAATGTTCCAACTAAAAAGGTGAAATGATTTGTTATCATCTCAATTGAAGTACGAATCCTCCCAAGATTGGGAGGCTCCATACTTCAACTAGTCCTTTTGTTCCTCGAATGGATCTCTTAGTTGTTGAGAGGGTTGCCCAAAAGAAGTATATAAGGTGTACAAGTTTTTGGTTGATAAAGGGATCAAATGGTATAATTCTTTTGTTGGTAGATTGGAGGATTACGAACATGAATATTGCTTCCCTATTGGCTGGTTTTGCATTAATTGCTACTTCTTTAATCTTACTGATTAGTGTAGATGTTGCATTTGCTTCTCCTGAGGGTTGGTCGGGTAACAAAAATGTTCTATTTTCCGGCACATCATTATGGTTTGGATTAGTCTTTCTGGTGGGTATCCTTAATTCTCTCATATCCTGAACCTATTCGTTCTATATCCAAAAATGAAATGACCCCCCGTCCCAATTCCTTCAGGTTGTGAGACACACTAAAATTCAATATAAGTCCCAAAAATTCAAATAAAGAAAAAAAAATTAGAAAAATTAGAGAGGGGTCAAACTTTTGTGTTTTTGAATTGTAAAAATATATATAAATGAAAAATGTTAAATCAAAATAAATAGATGTAAACTAATAAAAACCAGTCTCTTGAAACAACTAATCAATTTCTTGTACTACCAAGAAGAAGCCGCCCCAATGGTATCATTTCACAATCTTTAGGAGCGAAATAGCCAATTTGAGAACCTAGCTATTTCGATGCCTTCTTAATTAGCGTGGAAATACAAATTCACAAAACCACGGGTTTACGGATTCAATATTAAAACTCTAACAAGAAGAAAAAGATCAAGATTAATTAAGTCTTCAACCTTATCGATTATGTACTTACGTAAAGAATTCTGGTCATAAATTTCTACTTTTTTGTTGGGTCAAATAATTTTCTAGTGTTTGAATAAGTCTATGTAGCTAATCGCCCATATTGCCCATCAACAGTTGGACAGGCATAATATAACCATGCAGATAAATGACTCTTTGTTTCCGAATCCAGAAAACATTTTCTTTCGTTGGAAAACCCAAGAGAATTCAAGGATTGATCATTTCAAATTAAGATGAGATCGATCGAACTGTTGTGTACTTTATCTTACTTTTCAACTCAAGGAATAATTTTTTTATAAATAATGTATTTTTGTAGTATAAGTTATTAATTTCTTAATCTTAATATGAATATCATATATACAAAAAACTATTCAAATTGAAGACTATTTAGTCATCCAAATGTATCAATAAAATGAATAGTTGGATATAAATCTTTTATTGAAATAATTCTTTTTGTTTAGATGATGTTCAAATAAAAATTAGGAAACTAAACGATCACAATATAAAATTTGTAGAATATGTGCATTCCTCATAGGTGGAACGCAAGGATTATCCATTCTTTTACGTACGTAGACAACTATTGGGTACATGAAACGTGCTTTCTTTTAAATTACAGACCATGACTTGGACTTTAAACTAGGACTTTCAAAGCCAATTTTGTTTACAAATTTTAACCCTTTACCATTCTCATTCTTGTACCAGCAAGAAGAATGTGTAACTACTATACTTTGAAGGGTGTCCCAACCTTCGAGAAAACCACCCCAATGGAATCCTTTCACAATCTTTAGCAATAGCCAACTTGAGAACCTAGCTATTTCGATGCCTTCTTAATTAGAGTGGAAAGACAACTTCAAACAACCACTGGGTTTACCAATTCAATACTAAAACTCTAACAAGAAGAAAAAGATCAAGATTAAATTCTTCATCTTTATCGCTTACGACTTACGTGAAGAATAGTGGTCATAAATTTCTGTTTTTTTGTTGGCTCAAGTAATTTTCTACTGTTTGAACAAGTCTCTATTGGTAATCTTCCATATTCAACTTCAAAAGTTATGCCTTCAACATTGGGACATACATCATATAAACATGCAGATAAATGGCTCTTTGTTTCCTAATGCAGTTAACATTTTCTTTTGCCGGAAAACTCAAGGGTAACTCAAGGATTGATCATTTTAAATTAAAATGAGATTGATCGTACAGTTGTCTACATTATCTTACCTTTCAACTCAAGGAATAATTTGTTTTTATAAATAATGTATTTTCATATATATAGTATAAGTTATTGATCTTTTAAACTTAATTTGAATATCATATATGCAAAAAACTTTTCAAATTGAAGACTGTGTAGTTATCCAAATATGTCAATAAAATGAATAGTTCATTATAAATCTTTTACTTAGTATCAACACTATCGATTGGGTTCATATATTCAAATGACTAAACGATTTCAAATTCAAATAATTATTTTTGTTTAGATGATCTTCAAATAAAGATTAAGGAACTGAAGGATCACAATATAAAATTTGAAGAGTAAGTGCATTCCTCATAGGTGGAACGCAAGGATTATCCATTCTTTTACGTACGTACGCAACTTTTGGGTACATGAAACGTGCTTTCTTTTAAACTACAGACCATGACCTGGTCTTTAAACTAGGGCTTTCAAAGTCAATTTTGTTTACAATTTTTAACAGTTGTACCAATATTGAAAACAAAGTATCTAAAAATTAACTCATAATTCAAAATAACATTCAAGAAAGGTGACAAACCAATTCTAAGACGTAATCCTAAAATCTGACTAAGAGTGTACAAATCTAGAATGTTTTGTAAAACTACAACTCCCTCATTGGTTGATGAACTCATAATTCAGCCTAGTAAGTTGCACACTAGGATCTTTAATGATAGAGAATATCTCTCTCTTCTCTTGATTAAAAAACCAACGAGCTGCAAACAGCCACAACGGGCTAGTACGCTCACAACCAGGTAACGGTTCAACAACCTGCACAACTTCAGGAATACTAGTGCCTATCATCAATTGCCTCATAGTGCTCTTACCCTCTACTGCACAAATAAGGCAGTCAATTTGACCATACAATTTTGCAGCACCGCCAACCTTTTTCCCTTTCCTGTCAAACTTATTTGTTCTCAATTCACCTTGGTCAGCTCTTTTTTTTTTTTTCCTTTCTTAGCACATTTTCTCATAGATTGGGTGGTGCACTCTCCTCATCATCCGATCCAATAGATTCATTTTGTATATTAACATTTCCTATTGATTCCTCCCTACTATTTGGTAGTAGTGCACCAAATGAAGGTTCCCAAGCATTTGCACCAATAGCAATGCTGTTTGAGAGCATCCTATCCAACTTTTCCTCGAACTCAGGAGTGATGCCTTTCTGCAATCTTCCATATTCAGGATTTATCTACAAATGAAAAAGAATGTTGTTATTATGTAGTTTATGATTACTATAACTAGAATAACATCATAACTGATACAAAGTGCACATACCTGAATCTTATTATTCCACCATTCATCAGAGGCATCCACTGTTCCCTTGCTTGGATTCCACTCTAGGCTAGTTTCTTTCCCAATTAGTTTTTTGCACAACTACCAATCCTTTTTAAGTCTATCTCACTTATTTTTCAATTGCGCTTTACTATAAGAATTTGCTGTTTCTTTCCTAAAGTTTTCTATCAAATTTGCCGATCTTTCTTTGTTAAAGTGAGGGCCAAGACGATGTCCAGCCTCCACATCCTTGATGCATAACTCACTGAATACGGATATATTCTGATCATTGCATTTACCATGTGGAGCTCTTGCTGATGTTCCCATGTTTTTTGCCATCCTTATATATATAATATTAAAGGAAAACTAATGAAAAGGGCTTGAAAACTTTGAATTTTAATGATAGAGCAAAACAAGACACAAAGTTCAATGGAGACCACAACAACATCAGAAGCTCTATGATGTATATAGCTCTGGGATGGAGACCACAACAAGTCACGCAATAAAGCAAAAAAAACCACAACATCATCAAGACTTACATACCATAATTGTAATTATGAGCCAGAGATAAGGCTCTGAGATGTTCATTGCCTGCTCAAAATCATATGCTTACTATGATTCTGTAATCTTCCATTTCATGCGACTCATACTATTTTTTTATCTTTTGGTCCAAATAAAAAAACTACTTTTGAAAAGCTCATTATCCACATGCCGGTGTAAATTTATGTTGCAGACATGTTTTGGCTGATACCACATGAAAGAAAGTATCCATGTCTATGTAAATTTAATTTAACAGCAATCAAATCTTCCAGTATCATCCAAAAACTAATCACCGAACTAAATTACAACTAATCAACTAATTATACGGGAAAAAAACGATTCTAACCAAATTAACCAAAGAAATTAGTCCACCTCAAGTCCCAAAAATTAATTAAAAATAGAATTTAAGCAAATTAATCAGCAAATTTCAAAAATTTTGGAACAAAAATCAATTGCAGAAAAATGAAGAAAATGACTTATAGTTGAATCAGTTCAATATTTCAATATTCCAACAATAAATTGTCAAAATAAGCAAATTAGAAATTGAAACGAAAGAAAACTCACCTGTTGTTGGTGAAGAGTGCTTGAACTAGAGGAAATGAAGAGGATAGATGGGTCTGTGCTCGAACCAGATGAGAGGGAGAGGAGAGAGTGCGAGAGAAATAGGGAAAGCTGGAAATTAAACGAAGCATAGGAGAAAAGGATAGTATTGTCAGCGCAAATGTTTCATTAATTGCCAATTTTTACGCGCTTCTATGAAAAAAAGTGCTCTTTTAGAGTCTAACCTGCTTTTGCTTTCTTTTGTTTTTGATCCACAATTGAAGGAAAAAAATAAAATAAAAAACTCTTTTTTCTAACCAAACACAATTTATGGTTCCAACTTTTTTTTTAAAAAAAATTAAGCAATCCCAAGCCAGCCTTTTGTTTAGAGGAGGAAAATAAACATATCAATTTAGAATTTTGGCATGGAAAAAAAAAACTTACAATTTGGGACCTCCAGTTCCTAAATTTAGTTTCATGTAAATATGTGTTATTTTCATATTTCTATAAATGAAAGTTTAAAAATAACAAATTCTGTATTCAATTCTATTGTTCTTTTAGGTTAATCAAACAAGAAAATTCACAAGTTCTAGAAAATAAAATTCTTTAGTAATATCAATTATTTTCATCCAAACAGATTGTTAGGTTTTATTCTTATGCTATGTGTGTACGTCATTTTGTGGTATAACATAAAGAAGATGAATTAATAATCAATAAGAGTATTGTCTCCATTTTTCTAATAATATATGAAGACAACTACAAGTCATTTTAACTTAAGATAGTACAATTCAAAAAGAAAATGGTGCAACCTCCACTTCAAATTTCTAGAGTGCACAAAATTTGCCACAAAAACAAAACAAAAAAATCCGTCCAATTTTTTCCTCGTGTTGCACAACGCCAAAATATCATGTGCATTCTCCGCACCTCCAATTTTCCATTTGCAAAAAATCTACAAAAAGAAAGTCTTGCTCAATTTTAATATTGTTTGCCTCATTTGTCTTGTGAAAAGACATTAAAATTTGTTATTGATTCCTGCAAACAGAAAGTTAAGCGGGTAAATATATAATATAATTAGCATTTATGACATCAAGTACACATCTATATTTGTTTTTATGTATTTGTAGTTGTCATATATGACATGTCATCTCGTCCAAACTTTTTTCCTTTATTATCAAACTTATTTCTTCTCAATTCGCCCTAGTCAGCTACTCTCTTTTTTCCCTTCTTATCATCTTTTCTTATGTATTGAATAGTCTCATTCTCCTCCTCATCATTTGGTCCAACAGTTTTAGATTGTAAACAAACATCTTCCGTGGATTCCTCCATAATATCTGGTGGTAGTACACTAGATAAAGGTAAGATCCACTTGTCACATAACTATTGTATTGAAAGATATATCTTTCGATGAAGTGGAAGAAATAGATAAAAGGAAATCTATAAATTAGAGCTGAGGATGCTTAAAGCAAGAATAACTTATATTATACATGTTTCACGATATATATAGTAGTGGGGGATTATGGGACAAAAAATAAATCCATTAGGCATGGAGCTAGAACCTTGTTTCGAGATATTTTTGCGAGTATTGATCCAGATTTAGATGCTCAAGTGGAATTTGGAGCATTCCAAAAACTTGGAGATCCAACTACAAGAAGACAAGTAGTCTGATACAATATGCTTTGTTACTTGTTACTTTTCATTTTTATTTTCTTTTTGTGATTTTTAGATGGGGTACCAGATAAATCTTGATTTGAATCACTGCCTTTTCTTTGACTCTTGTTCTTTATTTATCCGGGAGACGATCCCAAATAAACAGGTATGGAAGCTATAATTGTAAACCACGATCGAATCTATGGAAGCATTGGTTTATACATTCCTTTTAGTCTCAACTCTAGGAATAATTTTTTTCGCTATCTTTTTTCGAGACCCGCCTAAAGTTCCAACTAAAAAGGTGAAATGATTTGTCATTATCTCAATTGAAGTACGAATCCTCCCAATAGTGGGAGGATCCGTACTTCAACTAGTCCCTTTGTTCCTCGAATGGATCAAAGCAGTATATAAGGTGTACAATTTTTTGGTTGATAAAGGGATCAAATGGTATAATTCTTTTGTTGGTAGATTGGAGGATTAGGAACATGAATATTGCTTTCCTATTGGCTGTTTTTGCATTAATTGCTACTTCTTTAATCTTGCTGATTAGTGTAGATGTTGCATTTGCTTCTCCTGAGGGTTGGTCGGGTAACAAAAATGTTCTATTTTCTGGCACATCATTATGGTTTGGATTAGTCTTTCTAGTGGGTATACTTAATTCACTCATATCCTGAACCTATTCGTTCTATATCCAAAAATGAAATGACCCCCCCTCCCAATTCCTTCAGGTTGCGAGACACACTAAAATTCAATATAAGTCCCAAAAATTCAAATAAAGAAAAAAATTAGAAAAATTAGAGAGGGGTCAAACTTTTGTGTTTTTGAATTGTAAAAATATATATAAATGAAAAATATTAAATCAAAATAAATAGATGTAAGCTAATAAAAACCAATGTCTTGAAACAACTAATCAATTTCTTGTACTACCAAGAAGAAGCCACCCCAATGGTATCCTTTCACAATCTTTAGGAGCGAAATAGCCAATTTGAGAACCTAGCTATTTCGATGCCTTCTTAATTAGCATGGAAATACAATTTCACAAAACCACTGGGTTTACGGATTCAATATTAAAACTCTAACAAGAAGAAAAAGATCAAGATTAATTAATTCTTCATACTTATCGATTATATACTTATGTAAAGAATTATGATCATAAATTTCTACTTTTTTGTTGAGTCAAATAATTTTCTACTGTTTGAATAAGTCTTTGTAGCTAATCGCCCATATTCAACTTCCAAAGTTTTGCCCATCAACAGTTGGACAGGCATAATATAAACATGCAGATAAATGACTCTTTGTTTCCGAATCCAGAAAATATTTTCTTTCGATAGAAAACTCAAGAGTAATTCAAGGATTGATCATTTCAAATTAAGATGAGATTGATCGAACTGTTGTGTACATTATCTTACTTTTCAACTCAAGGAATAATTTTTTTGTAAATAATGTATTTTTGTAGTATAAGTTATTAATTTCTTAATCTTAATTTGAATATCATATATACAAAAAACTATTCAAATTGAAGACTGTTTAGTCATCCAAATGTATCAATAAAATGAACAGTTCGTTATAAATCTTTTATTCAAATAATTCTTTTTGTTTAGATGATGTTCAAATAAAAATTAAGAAACTAAACAATCACAATATAAAATTTGTAGAATATGTGCGTTCCTCATAGGTGGAACGCAAGGATTATCCATTCTTTTACGTACGTAGACAACTAATGGGTACATGAAACGTGCTTTCTTTTAAATTACAGACCATGACTTGGACTTTAAACTAGGAATTTCAAGGCCAATTTTGTTTACAAATTTTAACCCTTCACAATTCTCATTCTTGTACAAGCAAGAAGAATGTGTAACTACTATACTTTGAAGGGTGTCCAAACCTTCGAAAAAACCACCCAATGGAATCCTTTGACAATCTTTAGGAGCAAAATAGCCAACTAGAGAACCTAGCTATTTCGATGCCTTCTTAATTAGAGTGGAAAGCCAATTTCAAAAAACCACTGGGTTTACCAATTCAATACAAAAACTCTAACAAGAAGAAAAAGATCAAGATTAAATTCTTCATCTTTATCGCTTACGTACTTACGTAAAGAATTCTCGTCATAAATTTCTATTTTTTTGTTGGGTCAAGTAATTTTCTACTGTTTGAACAAGTCCCTATAGCTAATCTTCCATATTCAACTTCAAAAGTTCTGCCTTAAACATTTGGACATACATCATATAAACATGCAGATAAATGACTCTTTGTTTCCAAATGCAGTTAACATTTTCTTTTGCGGGAAAACTCAAGGGTAACTCAAGGATTGATCATTGCAAATTAAAATGAGATTGATCGTACAGTTATCTACATTATCTTACTTTTCAACTCAAGGAATAATTTGTTTTTATAAATAATGTATTTTAATATATATATAGTATAAGTTATTGATTTTTTAATCTTAATTTGAATATCATATATACAAAAAACTGTTCAAATTGAAGACTGTGTAGTTATCCAAATATGTCAACAAAATGAATAGTTCATTATAAATCTTTTACTTGGTATCAACTCTATCGATTGGATTCATATATTTAAATGACTAAACGATTTCAAATTCAAAGAATTATTTTTTTTTAGATGATCTTCAAATAAAGATTAAGGAACTGAAGAATCACAATATAAAATTTGAAGAGTACGTGCATTCCTCATAGGTGGAACGTGCTTTCTTTTAAACTACAAACCATGATTTGGTCTTTAAACTAGGGCTTTGAAAATTCAATATAAGTCCCAAAAATTCAAATAAAGAAAAAAATTAGAAAAATTAGAGAGGGGTCAAACTTTTGTGTTTTTGAATTGTAAAAATATATATAAATGAAAAATATTAAATCAAAATCAAACCATGACTTGGTCTTTAAACTAGGGCTTTCAAAGTCAATTTTGTTTACAATTTTTAACCCTTTACTATTCTCATGAGCTAGTACGTAGACACCATATCCCTTCCTCCCTTTCTCTATATAAACCCCATGCAATATTCCAGGAGGAGATAACTTAATTATCTCGATCGATATCAAAACTCCCAAGTTATGGCAATGAAATATTCACGATCTTTGCTCTTTGGTGTGCTGCTACTCATTGGCTTTGCATTGACAAATAGCAAAGCAACTAATACAGATCCACCTGTTCATTGCGAATTTCTCAATCGCAGCAGTTTTGAACCAGGGTTTATATTTGGCACAGGTTCCGCAGCTTACCAGGTCTGTATATATATGTATTTTACACACACACTCACACTCACATTTACATATTTCTTTTGGGATTATTTACCATATTTTTGGTGTATTTTATGCATGCAGTTAGCATCCATGCATGAATTATAATGTTGACATCTTCCTTGCGTGTGTAGTAGTACTCTTACGTATATGCATGTGTGTATATTTCAGTATGAAGGTGCAGTAAAAGAAGATGGAAGAGGCCCAAGCATATGGGATACCTTCACCCACAAACATCCAGGTCTGTGATTTAATCAATTGGTAATATGAAAACTTTAGCTACTTCATTTCAAAAGGAGTATAAATAGCACCTCATTCTTTTCTTCGTGAGGACAAGTAAACTCCAACCTCTCTAATAACCATGCACTTTGTTGGGAGACGAATAGTACGTGGTCATGTGATCTGTACAATATATGTATATACTTCATCAGT